ATTACAGCGACTGGAGTCTCTGGTGTGACCAAATCACTCTCAGCGATCCTTATCTGTCTTTCTGTATCTCACAGTAACCCGTTATCATGATCAGGGGTTAAACATCAAACCAGAATAGAGAAGACTAGAGTTCTCTTCATTTTTAGCAAAAACCTGTGAAGCAACAAGACGTAAACTGTGCAGCGTGCAACGCTCCCCGGGTGCATAATCAATAAAAAGCAGCAAAGTCTGAACATCTCTCAAACATCCAGTTAGCAAATACGCACACCTTGAGTGCATTAAACACTGCTGGACTTCTTTCGCTATGCAATTCGTTATTTTGATTAATCTTGGCAATTACGGCAGAGGACTAGGATATGTGCTTTTCTGCTCTAATTTATTTTGCTTGGCCTACTGCGGTGACTTTTACAAATTGGGCTGTATCCACTTTCAACAGGCTGTAAAACAGTAAGAATTAATAACTTTGCAATTCAAACAAGCAAGAAGAGACACGGTGCACGTCTGTGCAGTATCACGCTATCTGAGAGGAAAACTGCATCGACCTCCGCCGGCCAGTTTGAGAGACTGCCGTCGGACCTCGATTACAGCGCAATGCCGTGCCGGTATTCACACGTGTACAACAGCAAAACACAAAGACGTGGCTTTAAACTTCCGTTTCATATTTTCTGAAACGATAGGATGTTTCTTTGTAGAAGCAGCAAACTGGGAAGAACTGGAGAAGTCGAGACAAAGGAAGGGATTAGTGTGGGCAGGTCAAAGGAACAATATCTGTTTGTGTTTTTTTGTTTGAGGTGACGGCGGGGGTAAGTGTAGTTGAAAGTTGATGTTTCGCTCAGCGTGGTATCCCCTGCAACGGTCTGGTGGTTGAGCTTTCAGTGGGGGCTCTTGGCTGCTGTTGACACTAACCCCCACTGACCCCATTACAAACGCATACACACTCGACTGAAATACACGCTATACAGAAAAGGCCTCTCGCTGTGCCTGTTTGTACCTTTTCCATTATCCAACTGTCTTGTGAATTTGTAGCAAAGCTTGGAAATGTCGTAAGAAGTGAAATACTGCTCAGGTGTGCTTCCAGCTGGGTTGAGGCTTTTCGATTTGTCTGAACTCGAACGAGGAGTTCAGAAAACGCATCAATAAAAAGTTAGAGTCTTTCGAGAAGTCGAGAGTGAGTTACGGTCAGTGAGTAAAAGGTCGTGATGGAAGGTTATTTGAAGGACATTTTTCATGTTTTGTTACTTATAGCAAAGAATCATTATCTTTGTACCGTCCTTATAGTACACTTTTCTAAGAGAGCACTGCACAAACGTTTCTCTTTACTGCAGTGACCACTGTCAAAGAAACTGTCCAGATGGTTTTGCACGGTGCATCAAAATCCAACAATACGTTCCTGCATTCACAGTTCCCCTAAATTTCGAGAAGATCACCAACACCACCGGCTGAAAAATGCCCCAAATCGTGACAGAGCCTCCCCCGTGTTTCACTAAAGGCTGTAGACACTGGCTGTTCTACCTCTCTCCACACCTCCTCCTTCAAATTTGGATTCATCGCTCCATATCCACTGCTGCCACTGAGTTTTAGTCCAGTTCTTGTGTAATTTGGCATACTGCAGCCTTTTCCCCTTGTTTCACTTCCTTAAGAATGGCTTCTTGACAGCCACCCTTCCACTGAGACCATTTCTGATGAGGTTTTGGCAAATTGCAGATAGATCAACTGAAGTTCCAGATGCATCTCTCAAGTTCGGTGTCAGGTCTTTGCTGGATTCTTTCCTATTTCTTAAGGACATGACTTTCAGCTTTAGATAAAGTTTTCAGGCCTCCCACTTATTCTTTTGTCCTCCACTTGTCCAGTTTCCTAAATTTCTTTAAGGACACTCTGCACTATTATTTGACACACTGTGCTGAGATATGTCAGGTTTTGGCTCTTAAGGAATCTTTTTGCATTTTGCGTTATATTTTGGTATTTTTCATAGTTTCAACAAAATAAATTACAAATTATGTGTTTTGTGATAAACTGCTAGTAACAACGTACTTAAACAACATGCTTGAATGATTCACGGGCGAAACAAACAAAACCACTCCACTGAAAATGAACAATAAAGCAGCCAAAGTTCAAAGAAGAACTTTGAAAGATCTCAGAAAACCTGGAGAAGTCTGGCTGCTGCTGGCTGGTTGCTCAGGACTTTTGCACAGTGCTGTGCATTTCCCTGGATTTAGGTTTTTAGCATTTAGTATTTACACATTTAAAACATGATTATTAACATCCAAACAGTGGAGAACTAGTTTCAGTCTTGTGTGTTGGCCTGCTATAAGACTACGATGGGAAACACTGCTGTAGAGCGGACAGACTGGCAGCTAAAAATACCGGGCACGGAAACGCTTCCTGAACCAAACAATGAATTACCACACGTGCATGTTTGCACACACACACACACACACACACACACACAGACCCTGAGCCTACTGACAGTGTAAAGTGAATAAGCACGTTAATTTTTGCTCCATGGAGGATGGATAATGGGATACAGAGGAGAACATTATTTGAAATGAAAACAAAACCTGTTCTATTACGAAAGCAATGTGGAGGCTTAAAGACTCCACAGGAGAGTGAATGGATAGGGACACTCTCACCAAGTTCCTTTTCATTTTGAGGTGGGCCACTATGAGGCACTTGGCCTTCTAACGTGCAGTTGCACAATCAAGTTTGTTGCTACAGACTCAGGATAGTTTACAGTATGCTCTTGTACACACTGAGGACAAAAAACACGTGTGCATATTTTTCTGCTCATTTTCAATTGACGCTTCCAATGTTTTAAATGTGCCAGCTAATCAAGGGGAGAGAGATTTACAGTATGCTCTTGTACACACCGAGGACAAAAAACACGTGTGCATATTTTTCTGCTCATTTTCAATTGACGCTTCCAATGTTTTAAATGTGCCAGCTAATCAAACCGAGATAATATGCTGAAAAACGATATTCAGTAACACAGCCACAAGCATGCATGTGTTGAGTTTAAAAGGCTGCTTTAATCATGTGACAGGAGGCAAATCTGTGCCAAACGCATTTAGTACAACTAGTGCAAAGATTTCACTTCCTCTGATCTTTTTTACATTTTTGTCTTTGGTTTGACTCTGCGGTCCTCACCAGAGATGGGCAGCAACGCAGTACTTTTTTCAGGTAAGGAGTAAAGTAAGGGATTAGCATTGCAAAAAAAGTAATTAGATTACTGTTACTTTCCTATAAGCATGCAACGTTACTGCGCTACTAAAGTGTGATTTTGATTTTGAGAGTGTACGACGTTCGTGGCAGCAACAGACGTGTGCAGATCAACAGTGGATAATATGGAGTGATGGAGAGAGTACAACCGTGCAGCGTTTAAAGCTTGGAAGTACTCACATTACTTTGAGTTTGATTCTGTAAAAAGTGACAAAAACATTAGGTCCCTGCACACTCTGCGTGGGAAGAAAACTTCTTTCTACAGCGAAAAATTAAACTTCAGTCTGAGCGAGCAGCGAGCACGCTGCCACGGAATGTGACATTCACTGACATTTGCTGTGTTTTACTTGCATCTATTTGAAAGAGTGAGTGTAAACACAAAAAATATTTTATTTTATGATGCTGGAATATGCAGAAAATAGGTTTAAATGTTAAACAATTTCTTCAAGTCAAAGACTGTTGCATATAATTTAATTTTTGCTTGATGCATAAAGTTAAAAGATTAAAATAATAAAACAAGTTTTAAAAAGAGACTTTTTCATTATGATTCATTTTTTATATGATGGATTATGGAGAAAAAAATTACAATTGGGCTGAAAGGTCTGTTGCTTTATTACGTATTCAGTTTGGGTAGCATGTTTTTAAAAAGTAACAAAATTACTTTTGAAAATAACCAATCAATAAAGTAACAGGATTAAGTTCTTGGGGAAGTAATCACTAATAAGTAACTAATTACTTTTGAAAATAAGTAATCAGTAGAGTAATGGGATTACTTAATGGAGAAGTAATCAGTAATTAATTACTTTTTTCAATTAACTGGTCCTCACTGCTAACTCTGGAGCCAGAGTTTTATGCAGGTGAAGTTGATTTACGGCCCTGCAGAATCTCCATAGACCTTAATAAATGCCATCATTTGCATTTGTACTTTTATGCTATCACAAGAAAACTGTAACTAAACTGTTGCTATTAGCAGTGGCTAGTGGCAACTAGCACTAGCTAGTTGCTCTAGCTAGTTGTTACAGCAGCTAGCTACAGCAACTAGCTACTGCAGTCCCACTTTGAGAAAGTTAGATAAACTTTACTATTACCTTCTGATTAACAGAATCTGACTGATACAGGATTTCTACGGCTGATATTTAGAAAAGATATATTATATTCAATCATTTTTTTCTTTCTGATACGCAAAACATAAACAGATCTCCATTAACATTTGTTATGTGAAGTTATTCATTTACTCATTTCCACGCTGCCCGACTCGGCTCGGATTAGCTGGTTTTTGTGTTTGCGATGTTTTATTAAACACAAGTTGTGAACAGATATGTGCAGACTGCCCTCTGGTGGACAAACTATGCAACATCAACACTGATAACAGGGTTGAAGGATGTTTCTCCTGTCTCTTCTTTACTTTTTAATTTTCATTTATCGACCATTATAAGGGCAGATACCGCTCAAAAAACAGGCAGATAGATAAGATCTGCTGAGGAATCAGTTGTGCTCCATTGTAGATGATTTGGTCTGTGTCAACACAATGTGTAGGTAATTTTCAAGGAAGGTGTTTTTGGCAGGCTATAGCTTTGGACACTGCGCAGGGTATGCTGCTAAAAGAAGACGAACCCGGGCATTCGCTCCTATTTTGTTTAGGGGTTAGGACTGTTTCTTGATGTTTGAGGTAACGGGACAATGAGGGGTTGGTTATATGCTTAATGTTCCTGGTAAGTCTTGGACCAAATTAACAAATTGGTATGATGTCATAGCCCAAGCTTGTGAGTGTGTGTAGTATTTACCTGAGCACAGCGTCTGTGGTTTTCACACCAAACCAGGACTTGGTCACTCTGAAAAGAACAGAGAGGATGAGGAAGGATTAGAACAAACACAGACAGAGAAAAATAAATCGTGACGTGTTTCCTTCCCCACATTCAATCCCTTTATGTGTGACTACTGCATAACGCACAAGGAGACAGAAAGCAAAATATTGTTGCTTAAAAGGTCACTGACAAAATTACATAACCAGCCATGCGAACAGACACACACTCCACCTTTCTCTTATTTAGGTAATTATCCTCTGGGTGAAAAATGACTAAACATTCTAGGTTTGCGGCTGCAGAACCAGACAGGGACAACGTCACTCAGCGAGATGTATGGTTATGTGTGCATCTGTAAGTGTGAGTGTTGCACTCTTCATTGCTGAGTGAGTCAAGACCACCGGTAAACACGGCTGCTGTAACCAATATGACAGCGGTATCCGACATGTCATGACCACACGGACAAAAATAAAGATCAACCAAACCAACCCACCCTTATCACACAGAGTTTTCCCTTATTTGACTCTGTGCACCGTCTAGACAACAACTATACTGAACTAATGAATCTATTTATTTTGTATCATTCATGCAATGACACTTCTATAAATTCATAAGAATGGGCGAGAGGCTAGGTACTAGAGATGGACCGATCCGATATTACGTATCGGTATCGGTCCGATACTGACCTAAATTACTGGATCGGATATCGGAGAAAAATAAAAAATGTAATCCGATCCATTAAATATCACGAAAGCACCTCACAAAACTTGCAACACGCCGTAACTCACCTCAGAACGTTAGCACGTCGGAGCAGTATGCATCACGTGATAGAGCGGCTGTGGCATGCGGGACCTGTCGGTGGTCTGGATAGCATTTGGAGCTTCGCTAGCAACCCGGCATTTCATCTCCGACAAAGTTATCCCCGAGAGAAGTAAAGCAAGTGTGTAAGTCCATCTCTGAATGTTTGTAAAGCATTCCTGCGTTAAGCTTAACGAGCGACTGCCTCTCGCTCTCCGGCTGCTACTTCAATCATGAAACTGCTAATGATCAGCTGATCGGCTTTTCTGTCGCGAGTCTCTCTTGTTTGTTTTTGGTCCACTTTGCCCAGAAAGAGGAAACCAGCGGCTGAACAACAGCAGCACGTTTAAGCTTGATAAGCTGTTGTTACAATTTATTTAATATTACTTTCTACACCAGGATCGTTTTCTACGTAGCTGACGGCTGGTAACTGTGCAGGGGCGGATCTAGCAAAGTTTAGCCAGGGGGGCCGATAGGGCATTAACGGGAAAAGGGGGCACAAAGACATACTTTTCTTTCTTATTCTCATTTAAAATGTCAGCTTTTAATAAATAATTATCTGACACCCAAAGTTTTAATTTGATGTAAAATGAATAGAAGTCAATTACTGTATATAGTAACTATTAAGTCTAATATATATACCCTAGTAAGCTATAGTACTTTTTCCTTTGGGAAGGTACCATCTGTGCAGTCTGCAATTTTGTTGAAGAAAGATGTTGAATCTATTTAATATTTCTTGAAAAATAATTGATTTCTGTGCATTTTTTTTCACACTGCATCAAATTAAGGTTGATTACGTCGATTAAGCATCATGAGGTGGAGCGTGAGGGGTGGTTCCCTATTTTTTATTTATTTATTTTTGTTGTTGCTGGGAGTTGGAACCCTATTAGTTAGGTTGCTTAATATTTACGCTAAGTACTCTTTAAAATACCAGAATAGGGAGGATGGTGTAGGTTAAGTTTATTAGATTGATCAGTATTGCTGAACTATGAAATATTTTTTTTGCATACAGGTATAACAGAATAGCTTTAGTGTAGTTGTTGTTTTAAACTTGAGTATGAACTTATACAAAATGCAGCAAGATATTTAAAAAAACAGTTTTGTTGATTAAAAAACACTATATCGGATTCATATCGGTATCGGCAGATATCCAAATTTATGATATCGGTATCGGTATCGGACATAAAAAAGTGGTATCGTGCCATCTCTAAGTACACACTGGGCGGGCTGCCAGTCTTCCATCATACCGTATTTTAATGCGCACTGTCGATGAACGGGTCTGTTTTCGTACATAAGGCACACCGGATTATAAGACACATTAAGCGGAACAGTCAGAAAGTAAACTTACTCAACTCATTCTTCTTGCTTCCTCCACTTCCGTACCATTGATTCATTAATGTTGAATTCTCTGCAGCTGCTCTATTCCCATGTTGTTGCAGTATATTAATGACTAACCTCGTATTGTGGATGGATTATCTCAGTTGTTCTCCTGACTGAAGTTTGGTCCGTTTACAGCATCCTGCCATGCGATTGCATTTGTCCCTAACCATCGGAACCCTCACGTTAACTTTTATCGAGTGGAAAAAAGTTAGCGTTCATCCTCCAGCTTCACTGTGTTTATGTTATGCTAACATAGCTGTGTCGCTAGCGATCACGTAGCACATCATTATATACCAGCTAGCCCAACTTCAGTAACCCTACAAACGTCACTGCTGTTTAGTTTCCTGTCTTCATTTATGTTGGAAGTGATAGCAGAGCTGTACGTTTGAATTTTTCAGAAATCTCTCAGTCAGAACATGCTATATCATGTTTAGGTGGAAGCTAGCGAGCTAACTTCCTGCTAACTTCTAACTCCGTTAAATTCTGTTTTCATGGATGCCTGGATGTTAAACTTAATTGTTACACCTGGTAAAGCAGCAACGCTGATGATTTTATTAAAGATGAAAGAATTTAGACAGTTTTTAACTCTCAGTGATGCTGCAGTGTTCGTTTGACTTTGGGACCTGAAGGAGGAGTTTAGGACCCAGAATGGTCGCAGCAGATGGCCCCGCCCCTCCCTGAGCCTGGTTCTGCGGAGGTTTCTTCCTGTTAAAAGGGAGTTTTTCCTTCCCACTGTCGCCAAAGTGCTTGCTCATAGGGGGTCATATGATTGTTGGGTTTTTCTCTGTATCTATTATTGTAGGATCTACCTGTACAATATAAAGCGCCTTGAGGCAACTGTTGTTGTGATTTGGCGCTAGAAAAATAAAATTGAATTGAATTGAAGTGAATAGATTACTCCGCCAGGCTTCTGACTACGGTAGCCGACAATCCATCAAGCGGTGCGGCTTCGTAGCTTACCAAAGTCGTACTAAAACATTTTTGACTGATTTTTGAGCGTCGTGTACCTCATAAAATTGGTTCGAGGTCAGTGAGCACAACCAGAATTCATACGGATTATAAGGC